CTCCCCAAAACCCGTATAGAACAGCACGACTTATGAGCCCTGAGCACATCAGCACCAAAACACGTCGATCCTACACGCCCTAACGGCCCCAGTGCCCTGAATCCTAACCCCTAAAGCCGGTCAAAACTTAAAGCTCAAACCCCAAGCTTTGAAGCACCGTGGAGCCCCACAAGGCTGTAATTAGAAGCGGATGTGCCCCCAAAACCCCCATTCTGTTCATTATTGGGGTTTAGGGCTTTGGGTTTAGGGTTCTGGGTTCAGGGTTTTGGGTTTAGGAGTTCAAAACTGGAAGCCCACATCGCTCCTTGCCGAGGGTTGCCGTAGCCTATGAGCCGGTCTGGGCGGTGGGCGAGGGCGCGACTCCATGCCAGCCGGAGGAGGTAGGGGGCTTAGGGGGTTCGGGTTTAGGGTTTCAGGTTTGGGGTTTAGGGTTTAGGGTTTGGGGTTTGGGGTTTAGGGTTTAGGGTTTGGGGTTTAGGGTTTAGGGTTTAGGGGGGGTTGAGAGCTGAGAGCTTGGAACCCAGAGAGCCCAAGGGGCCCCTGAATTAAGGAATAGACCTTAAATCATAATATTGAGGCACCTATAGTTTAAGGTATATTCCTGAATCAAGGNNGGGGTATTGGGCTCTCTGGGAAGGGTGCTGCGGGCGAAACGGTGCTGATTCAATCCTTGAGGCAAGAAGGGGTAAACCGCAGCAAACGCCGGGGGGTCTTGAAAGATCCTCGTAGGTTTGCAGGGCTCCGTAGGTGTTTTATTGGGGGGGGGGGGGGGGGGGNNCTTGGGTGTTGGTCATGCTTTCTGTGGTAAGGGGGTTCGGGAGATCAGGGTTCAGGGTTGAGTTTAGGGCTTCAGGGGCCCCAAGGTCTGAGATTAGACGTTCAGGGAAAGGTTTTCTGGTGTGGGCTTTGAAAGAGTTCGGGGATTCTGTAGGGGCTTGGTAAAGTTTTAAAGGGGCAGTCGGTTGAGATAGGATAGAGTCTATTGGGATCACGTTGTATAGTCTTTGATCTTTCAGGTGTCCCAAAGCACCCCAATTGTCGTTCCAGATTGGGTTACTTTTGAAGCAATTCCTTCTATGCAACAGGTGGTTTTGATTCTGCAAGGGGCCTTTGCAGGGGGAATCGACACGGACACACGCTCCCCATGTGTTTTTTCGGGCTTGTTGCGAGGTTGACGACCTTCAACTGCAAACCTCAAGCCCTAAGACCCTAAACTTTGGGCAAACCCTAAGACCCTAAGGTTTGGGATTGCGGTCGTAAAAGAACCGAGAGGCAAAACAAAGTGCTAAACCCGAAACCCTAAACCCTAAGCCCTAAAAGTGCAAATCCTGGTCCCCATGACCCGACGACCGAACGCCTCAAATCTCCTATATCAGACCCGGGAGAGCTGAACTCAGCAGCTGAACCCCGACAACCTAAATCTCTAAGGCCTAGACGCTAAACCCTGAACCCTAAAAAGCCACCCTAACCCTAAACCCTAAACCCTCAACCTAAACCCTAAACCTTAGCCGAAATCTCAAACTCTCAGGCTTATGACCTTTAGACCCTAAACCCCAAAACGCCAGAGCTCCCCAAACCCAACATTCCCCAATCCCCCAAACCCCCAACCCAAAACCCCAAAACCACCCAAAACTCCCCAAACCCCAAACCCTAAGCCCTACACCCCAAAACCCGCAAAACCATCCAAAACTCCCCAAACCCCAAACCCTAAACCTTACGCCTACACCCCAAAACCCGCAAAACCCCTCCCCCAAACCCCCCCCCAACTCCCCCCGCTCTCAAACCCAGGCCCAAAGGGTGCATGCGGCTCTCCGGGCTTTCCTCGAGACCGAGGCGCGCGGGCGCGCGCGCGCGCGCGCGCGCGCGGGTGCGAGTTAAGAAATGTACCTTAAGTTGCACGGCGTGTGGGTCTTATAGGGTGTTTTGTAAGGGTGTTGTTTAGGGATGATGTAATTTTGACATGTTTTCCTTGATTCAGTAGTTTCGGGGTGTCGGGGTTGGGGCGTTCAATCTCAGTTTACCAGAAAAAGGCTTATAAACCCTAAACCCTAAACCCCAAACCCTAAACCGTTTGCTGGCCCTGCTAGGTCGGCGCGGAGGCGGCCAAGGAATGCCGCTTCCTCTACACCGGCCGGGAACCTGAAAGGGCCTAGGGTTTAGGTTATTGGTGTTTAGGGTTTAGGGTTTAGGGTATTGGTGTTTAGGGTTTAGGGTTTGGGGTATTGGTGTTTAGGGTTTAGGGTTTAGGGTATTGGTGTTTAGGGTTCAGGGTTTCGGGTTTCGGGTTTAGGGTATTGGTGGTGAGGGTTTAGAGTGCTTGTGGGTTCTTGTTCTACAAGAGCTTCATACGTGAAGTTTGCAACAGTGTTTTGTTGTTGCATAAGGGTCACATATGCTTTTTATTTTCGACTTAACGGTTGCAGAAGGTTTTTTTAATATGCAGGTTTGGAAGCGGGGGAGATGCTTTCCAGTTACCAGGGCCTTGCATGCCAGGAGCACTGTGCAGCTGCGTCTAGACTCGAGCGCACACACTGTAGCAGACACCTCCCCGTTCAGGCGTGCGGATGACTTTGTACATCAACAGGGCTTCAGGGTGTGAGGTCTAGGCCCTTACAACCTTTGATTGGCTTTTTCGAGGTGTTGGGTCTAGGGTGTTGGGGTTGAGGGCTTCAAGCTTCGGTGTGAATGGCCTTTTTGGTGCGTGAGGACTGAGGCTCCTGGTAGATCCCTGATGGGTAGTTCTCTAAATTAGGGTCCCTTTTGGGGTCCTGTTTATGAGGGTGCCGTACTATATTGGGGCCCGAAACCCTAAACCCTAAACCCTAAGCCCAAAACGGACCCTAAAAAAGAGAACTACCCTGGTTACAACGCTCCTACCCCTGGGAAGGGTCATAGCAGGGATCCTGGCAGTAAGATTCCTCAAGGACTGCTGCTACTTCTGTCAATGACAAAAGAGCAGTGATCGTAGTAATGGTCGTCACCGTGTTCGTGCTGCTAGTGGTGCTGCTATTTTTTCGGTGCTTTTCGATAACTGATTCCGTGATCCCTGCATCCTGAATGCACCTGCTCAATGAAGTAATGTAGGAACCTGATTGCGAAACCCTGGCCCTATAACCCCAAATATATTGGGGTTCACATCAACAACCCGAACAAAGACCCAGGGTTTCTTAATCAGGTTCCTGCATCAATCATGCTGCCCTAAACTCTAAAGCCCTAAACCTTTGATCAACAACTCTTGAATAGTAGGATGCCAACTGCCAAGCCCATGAAGCCGGGCTTTACATGCCAGGGTACTACACCAAGGAACATCCATGAAACCCGTATAGAACCGTTAGAAACCAAGAAAAGGGAACTCCATAAACGGCCCTTTAAACCCCAATAGCTACAGAAACTCCTGTCAGTTTATCTTAAAGCCTACATGCTACGATCCTCTCATTTTGGCGCCTTGTTGTTTTCACCAGGCTCGGTGAACGAGAAGAATGCCCAGGAAGAAGGGCTTTGAGGTTATGGGATGGGGGTGAAGGCTTCGTGGCGCGGGGTTTGGGTTTAAGGGGTTAGTCGCCCTTCCGTCAGGCCCAGACGAGCTTTGGACCTTCACGGGTTCTTGGTTCTTGGCTGTTACGGCCTCTGCACTAGTGCAGCAAGCCTATACACCTTTTCCCGACCCTAAACCCTAAACCCTAAACCCTAAACCCTAAACCCTAAACCCTATACACTTGCCCCCAAACCTTTTTCCGATTCTTAAGGCCTCTCCCGAAGCCCTAAACCCGATACCCTCCATATTAGGGCTTGGGAGAGGGGATGCCAGCTTAAAATGTGTAAGCTCTCGGTTCTTTAGGCAGCTCATAACAGGAGCAAGATCGACGTGGGTAGTTCTCTAAATAAGGGTCCTTTTTAGGTCCCCCGATACAGTACCGCTCCCCTTATAAACAGGACCCTCAAAAGACCCTAATTTCGAGAACTACCCAAAAACCACCCTACACCCTAAACCCTTATAGAAACCCTTATAGAAGCCCTTATATAGATCCCTTTCAGGAAACACCCCCCCCCCCCGGGACACTACCACCAGGAGTTGCTTCAACCCGTGGTCTAGGGTTGCAGACAAGCCCAGGCTCCCAGGATTGACCCTTCTGTGGGTTTTTGGGGTTTGGGGCTTAGGGTTCTGGGGTTTAGGGTTTAGGGGTCCGGGTTTTGGGGGTTAGGATTTAGGGTTTTAGAGCTTAGGGTTCTGGGGTTTAGAATGTACGGATTCGGGGGTTTAGGACCTGGGGTTTGGAGTTTAGGGCTGCTATCACCATTGTTTGTTTTGACTATCTTTACGTCTCAATACTATTCCCAGACGGTTGTTATCATCAGGATCGTCACTACTGTCGCTGTCAGTGTGAGGTATCTACAGCAGTATCATCATGCATGATCTTGGGTATTGTTGTCACTACTCCTTTTTTCTGCATCGTTCCTGCGATTGGCAGCTATATGCCGGTATGGTTATGATTACCAGCATGCACAGGCATGGGCATGCACTGTTCTTATTGTGGAGAAACTGAATCAGTCTCTGTCCCTGGAGGAGTACGCTTCGCTTCCGGACGTTGACGGCTTTGTCGTCGGCCGCGCAGGTTTAGACTGCACGAAGCTTTCGTCCATCTGCAACACGCTGAAGGCAAGTGCTAAGGAGCTTTAGTGGAGCTTTAGTTCCGATTGTCAGGGTGCTGGGCTGGTAAAGGGACGCTGTAGAACGTGTTCATGGCCACTTCTGTTGCTGACATCTGCCATTGCCGCCAGTGCCGCCAGTATTGATGTCGATGACACAGGCTGACAGCGGCATGTCCGCAGGAAATCAGCCAGCCGATGTGTAGATAGTGCTTCTATTAGGGCATTGTTCGTGGATCGTAGGATCAGAAGGGAGCTTGCCATCCGGATAGCCCAAAGCTATTTCTCGGTTCAGCGAGACAGTTCACCCGAGTACATTCCTGTCTGGCCAGCGTCATTACTGCGTTTTTCCGATGCCTCCGGTGGATTATGGCCCTTTGCAAACACAGGAAGTCAGCGCATGGGATGAGATGGAGAGCAAGCAGCTCTTGGGATCGACGGCCAGGAAGTGTTTTCAATGCTTTTGTTTCGGGCTTGCAGGCTGGCTGTGGGCCCTTGTGACATTTGCTTTGTGCATCTACGCTGCTGTATGTCCCAATGTGAGTCTAGCCTACATATATGGAGAGAAGGCCACGCGCATGGTGGCCTTGATGCTGGGCTTGGCTATCTTGTGTTCCATGAACGCAACAAAGGCAGCTGCAAGCCTTTTGGACAGCGAAGAATTTGGACAGCTGTTGACCAACTACAGACACGCAGCTGAAGACGACAGTCATACTCGCGAAGACGACATTCGTACTCGAGAAGTCCTGCTGACACAGCTGATTTTCGGCCTCGTGACTGGTATCTTACTGTTCCCAGCGTTCGGATCAGAACAGATTTATGTCGCAGGATGGCTTGGTTTGATAGGTTGGATGGCGGCTTACTCGCAGGGCTACAAGCGTGTCTTGTGGCTGGTCCAGAGATTGAGCAAGTGCCTCGTGCAACAATTTATGGCCGAGATGCATGCTGGGCCAGCGGAGTGGAAGGGCACCGGAAAGTTCTGGCAGGATATGACGACGAAGCACTACGATATGGACCTCAAACTTCAGAGTGCCTGGACCCTTGCCAGCTGGGCTTTTGCTCCCGAAGTGGCTTCCTTGGGTATTTTTACGATGATCGCTTTGGTGGCTTGCTTGTCTGCAGCAATCAAAAGCAAGAATGGTGCTCTGGCTCTTGCCAGTTTGCTTGGTGTAGTACCGCCACTGTTTAGGCTGGGAAAGGACCTGCAGCGAATTGCAAGCATCACAGACATGTGCTTGTCAACAACCGCTACAAGCAACAACAAAAAAAGCATCATGTCGCTTGCAATAGCACAGTCCGGCCACAGCCCATTTAGTCCGAGTGAGATCCAGAAAGCCGGCTACGGCAGGGTTGATGATGAGCGCGCTGATCACGCTGTCTTTCTCCGCTATTTGATGATAAACAAATGTGGAGTGGCGATGTTTGGTGTTCTGATTGATTCGAGATTCATCCTGGGTGTTCTGGCCAATGTTGCCACTGCATTTTTTGCACTACTCTCTTACCTGTTGGCCACCCTTGATATCCAGGCCGATGATATAATGCAGGCTCAACAGAGCTTCACACGTGAGCTCCCATTTCAATCTACCTAGCCGTCAACGGCCGGGACTTTTAGAGTCTTATCATGCCTTCCGGTGGCTCCTGCAGCAGAAGGAAACAACAATCACCAACTGCTCAAAGAATCTTCTGTAGCAACTACAACTCTTCCAAGCTTCAGCGTATTTGTTTGACCGGGTCTTGCCCTGCCTTACAGGCTAGCAGGATCGGATAGATGGCATAAGAAAGAATTCACCCGGCATGCATCCCAGGCTTCCGAGGGTCTTTCTCCGATGCTTACCACGAGCAGGAAGGTTTTTCTCTGTGACTCCATGGGGAAACGGCACAGACCGCCTGTAACTGAAAGGGGCAGAGCTGTTGCAAAAAAGGAGCCGTCTCCCTCATGGAACCTTCGAAGAGTCCAAGGGATCTTGTAGTATCTTAATGCTTTCGCGATCAAAACAAGGTTGTCCTGCCTGATTTCGGTGGCTTCCCGATCTTAGAGAGTACTCCCATGTTCTGTCTCGGCCGCTGAGCCCACAACCGTTACACTCCGCATGGAACATTTTGTCACACCACTGACCGGCACAAGGCCGGAAGCAGTTGCCGTTTGCCTCGCACCTTGAAGCCTCAGTGCAGCCCAACACCTGCAGTACCGTGTCAGACCCCACAGCTCCATACTCGTTCTTTGGCTGAGCGACGCCAAAAACTGCCCGGGGCAGTCGAAGCCACTCGCACAGTGCGCTCACTAAGCCCTCTTTCATGCTTCGTGACCTTTGCCTCGCATGCTCCTGCTTGCCGAAAGGTGAAACCTCCAGCGCAAGAACGCAAAACCTGATTCCAGGAGCCAAATACAAGGGTCAAACTAGAAAGCATGAGGGGAGAACCGAAGAATCTAGAAGTTAAACAAAATCGAAACTCGATTTAATGGTTCGGTTTTCACCTACCTTGGACCCTCCAAAGACACAATTAAATCGTGTTTGAATCGCTTGTCTATGCATTCATCAAATGAACAGTTAGAGACCTGTGTCAGTTCGCTACCGGGATACCCCATTAAACCATGATTTAATTGCGCAATGTGGCGTCGTTCTTGGTAACCGCCGGTTATGTAGTTGGTTCCTACTAGTATCAGGTTCGATGGAAAGCTTCTCTAACTATGTAGATCGCCACAATCGCACCAAACACTGGAAACATGCTTTGATTGGCTTCGGGAGTGCAAGCTTCCGTGGGGATCTTCTTAGAACTGCTTGTACTGTTCTACTCACTTAGGACAAGTATACTTTGAAGTTCAGGACATTCAGGCCGACACTATAATCAGCACTTATTTGGAAATCTTGGGAGCCGTGTCCGAACATGTCCTGGGTATCTCGTGAGATTCAGGTAAAGATAGAGCAAGCCAACGACACAATTAAATCATCTGGTGATGTTTGGAATATCCACCAGTCTAGCCTAGTGATAGAAGTCCGACAGTTGGAACCTGGACATGGGGTCCACCTACTATCATTTCCAACGCCATGGACCGCCATGTCGATGTCACAAATGCTCTCCCCTGAAGTTTTCTTTTTCTCCGGGTCTTGCTTTTCCATTTCGGGCTGTCATCTACCATTGCTGTAAGCAACGCAGTGGCTCTTAAAACTGACACATGATAACAGGTGGGAGGTGACAGGCAGCTCGGACACCTTCAGCCGGTCGCCCCGGGACGCGTCCCACAGACACAAGTTGAGTTTTCCGCATGGATCTCAAGCATTCCGGCTGCAAAAGGATCTCTGAGCCGCTGCTGTTTGCAAATGGAGCACCCTTATGCAAAGGAGCCTTGAAGGGACCCTAATTTAGAGAACTACCCTCATGTTGCACAGCAGTCTTGGCAGTCTCGCGGTTCCTTTACCACCCCAAAATCCGAAGATGTATGTGCAAAGCTTCATTGTTCGAACGTGGGATTGAGTGGTCCGGCTCTGCGACATGAAACAGAAGAATGCAGAAGAGCCCTGATCCCGACATCGGCCCAAGCCCCTTAAAGCCAAAATCCTGAGCCCCTCTAAGATCCTTCCCGAAACCCTGAAACACCTAAACCCTTAACCCCTTAAGCCCCGTAAGCCCTAAACTTATAAGCCCTGGCTTTGATCTACTTCCAAGTGACATGCCTGGAGCAGGCCGCGAAGGAGAAGACGGAGAGCTGAATGAAGTTTTGCATGGTGCGCAGACTGAGAACTTAGCTGTCTGCCTGGCTGGTGTTAAATACCCTATGCTTCCAAGGACCTTATAGTTAGGGCCCTAGACCCCTCAAGGACCCAATAATAAGGTCCCTGGAAGCATAGGGATACATTAGCAACACTTGCGAGGGCAGCAACATACTTTTGTAAGTGTAGGAAGCCAAGGTTCGAAGGAACTGGTGGCAGTTTGGCAGATCGCACGCCGTTGCTGTGATAGCCGAAGTGCTTTCACAGATCGGAATCAGCCCTAAACCCTAAACCCTAAACCTTAAACCCTAAACCCTAATTTTGGGGATGCTCCGACATGCTCGTCCCATGTTGTTTCGGCTTGTGTCCAAACGAGGCGCAGGCTCTGATTCTGCAATTTTTCCGACCTTGCCAGGTGTGCTGATAAAGCATCTCTGACTATCATCTGCCACGAAAGCCGCGAAGGGTGCGGCTCTGTTACCCTAAACCCTAAACCTTAAACCCTAAACCCTAAACCCTGCAGCCCTAAACGAAGCCTTGAAACCTTCCCCTTCTCTTCTGTTCCCCTCCCTTCTCCTCACCCCGGAATCGCTAAATTTCGAGCTACTGCTTCAAAGTTGCGGCCTGCAAGGTTGAGCCTTAGCCCCACAACCCCAGACTTTAAACCCTTATAGAACTCGATGGAAACCCTTCTTGAGGACCGTAGTGCTCTAAAGTAGGGTCCCTTTTTCGGTCCCCAACAGAGTACGACACCCTTATAAAAAGGACTTAAAGGGGACCCCTAATTTAGAGAACTACCCACACAAATCTTCTACTTGAAGTCATTATGAATTCCAGGCTCTGGTTCCTGTGAGGCTTCCGGCTACCGTGAGGCTAAAGGGATTTTGAGGCTTTGAGACATCGAGGTGCCGTTTGCAAACTCAGGGTGGGGTTTTGGGTTCAAGGGTTCAACCCTAAACCCTAAAACCCTAAACTCCTAAACCCCTAAACCCTAAACCCTAAACCTCTAAACCCCAGTCCAAAAGAGCCCTAAACCGTTGATAGGTTGGGGGCTCAGGGTTTGGGCTACTAGGCTGTCGGGTTTAGGGTTTGGTGTTTAGGGTTTAGGGTTTCGGGTTTAGGGTTTCGGGTTTAGGGTTTAGGGTTTAGGGTTTGGTGTTTAGGCTGTTTAGGGTTTAGGGCTTAGGGTTCGACGTACGGAGGGGTATCGGCTTGCTGCCACCAGGTCAATTCCAGCTTAGGCCCAGCGGTTGAAATCCGAGGACCGAAGCTACCACAGAAGCTTCAAGAATCTTCAAGAATTACCAATTTAGGGCTCCTTCTCATGCTCATGGTGTAATGCTGTTGATGATATAAATCCTGCATTACCTTAATGACCCCAAACTATTGGAATTATGATATGGTATCTTCCTGATTATGGGTAGTGCAGGATTTCTATCATCAACCGTCTTATACCTCAAAAAAACCCTATTCTAATGATTAAGGCCCCTAACCCCTAAACCCTTCTAGTAGCCCTTATAGAACCCTATAAGGAACCCCTAAAACCCTAA